CCGAGGCCTCATTATCTTGTTTCAGTTGGCGAGCATAATCTTGTAGTTGGACCACCTCTACCGACTTCTCGTTAACCTCCCGCCTCAGACGTTCAACCTCGTTTTGGCGAGAGGAGTCGTCAGCACCAAAACCGTGGGCCAAAAGTACATTCATCTAGGCAATAAAATCGAAATTTGAGAAAGCGAACATAAAAAAAAGAAAAAGTAATAATGATAATACAATATATAAAAGCATGAAAATTACATTCATGCTAGGCAAAACCGTGGGCCAAAAGTACATTCATCTAGGCAATAAAATCGAAATTTGAGAAAGCGAACATAAAAAAAAGAAAAAGTAATAATGATAATAAAATATATAAAAGCATGAAAATTACCTGAGAGGCATGAAATAGTAGACGTGCATGCTTTTGCTCAGGAGATAATCGCTCGAGAGCCTGAGCGTCTTGGGCGCACCTCAGCTGATCAAGATGAAGTGACAAGTCCTCCTCAGGAATGTCAGGGTGGTAAGAGGATAGAAAGCCACCCTCGCGGATGTGAGAGCGCTTCGAAGCGAGAGAAGTCCCCTCGTTCTCCGGCAAAAACATTGACTTGGTGCCACCCAAACCCGAGGGGGTTCTCTCGGCAGAGATCGCAAAGTCGGGTACACCCCGAGGAGCCGTGTTCTCGCTGCCTAGTTCGATCACCGGTTCCCACACAGCAGCCCACGGGGGGACTGAAGATAGAGCACTCGGAGCCGCGCTAGTCACAACCCTGCTCGGGGATGATTGGCGAGCGGTGGAAGGTGGTGCATGGCTGGTTGATTCAGAAACCTGGCGAGCAGAGGCTTGCGCACGCTGTTTGATAGCTTCTCGCATCATCTCGCCTGAACAAAAAATAAATAATAGATAAAGGAAAAGTTATAATAATAATAATAGATGAAACGTAGTGAAAAGCTATATAAAAGAAGTAGAGCGCAAGGGGAATCAAAGTACCAAGGGGGCGAGGGTCAGAACAGGACATGGCCCACAGGCCTGATCGAGTAAAGAGAGAGGGAGTGGCGATCAATTTTTCAACATCCCATCGCTCGGGAGGGGCGCGAGCTGCTAAAAGAGCAAGAAGCGGCTTGCACCCCTCGGACACCACCTCGGGCGTCGGCGAATCTAATAGAAAAGAGGTGGGAAAAACCTGGGAAAAGGGGGCCAAACAAAGAAAAATCTCTGAGGCCAATTCTGGACTTTATTTGATAATCCACTGAAATGGCCCAGTTTGGGGCGAGAGGTCAAATGAAAAAAACCGGAAGGGGAATGATTTATAACAAACGCTGAATGAAACAGATCACCATTAGGTTTAAGGCCTGCTTCGAGACAAATCATAAAAAAAGCGGACATAAACTTAATAGAGTTGGGCAGAAATTGGTTAAGGGGGACTTTATATTTACTCGCCACCGCGAAAAAGAAATGATGAATAGGTAGGGATAAGCCCGCGAGAAATTGATCCAGATACCAAGTGGTGAAACCGAGAGGAGGATGTAGGGAATCTTAGACAGAATCTGGAAGGGCTATATCGTATAACACATCCAAACCCTGTCGAAGAAGTAGGTCGGCTAAGTCATCGGCAGTCAAAATTGATTTGACAGGTGTGAAGGGGATATGTAGGGTGGGTTCTCTCGATTTGGGTTCACGCAAGATCCTGCAACCCTTGGACAAGGGAATAGCGGGAGGTCCATCTATCTCCTCGGCCCTGCGAGAGGGAGCTTTACCTTGGACCTTTGAAGTCACCGTCTTTTTGTTTTTCTTCGGTACGGTGGCGCGTGAAGAGGCAACTGCAGGGGTTGGGGGAGGGATCTCCGAAGAAGAAGAAGAAGAATAAGTCATAGGTACTTGGGGAAAAATGAATAAAAAAGAAGCCAAAACAAGGAATAAAAGTACCTGGAAGAAGGGGGAAAACTGGGAGAATCGCCGGAAAAGGGATAACGCACGCCGGAGGAGCAGAAAAAAGAAGAAAATGGCAGGGGGAAAAAGGAGAGGAAATAAGTGAAAGAGAAGAAGGGAGGTTTTTATAATGGGGGAGTGGATAAATGAAGCGACGGCTGCACAGATACCGAGGGCAGCCCACACATCGCATTTAATGCGAAGAGACGGATGTCTCATCGAGGGGAGAGCCACGGCTTGGGGAAGCGCAATCGACCCCTCTAAAAAAATGGAGAAATTAAATAGTAAAATGATATAATTATTATCTCCAGAGGGCCCTTGTTTCGAGATTACAAGAGCCTACTCGCGAGAAACTTTGGCTCGTTCCCCGCGAGTGGGGGACTAGTTGATTCGGTAAACTTAATATCTTGGCCCGCTAAGGGGATGGCCCAACAAGGGCCCAATAGGGAGACTCCCGTAAGGCCCAAGTCCCATCATAAAGGCGAGAGGAGTACGGCCCCTCGCCAGAGGGGTCTGTCTTTTCTTAAGCGAGAGGTCCCTTCATGGCCGCCTCGCATTTAATGCATGTCTCCTCATGTGTCAGGAATGTCAGGAAATATGCAGTCTTGGGATTATGTAGCACACAACACTGTTCCTCGAAGAGACAAGTTAAGCTCAATTGAATACTTACTTGGAATCCGGAATAATTTGATTAGACGGGTTAAATTGGAGTAAAATCCGGATTGAGGTCCGAACATTTTTCTATAAATAGTAAAAGGTCAGATTATAAACACAGGGACTGATATAAATCAATAAATAACTCATTAATTAAGCTAGAGCATTCCATATTAAAGGAACCTACTAATTTGGCCGTCGGAGTGCTAACTCCGGCATCAGCCCGGTCTTTCTTTTTCTAGTCTTATTTTGCAGAGCCCATTATGAAGAAAGAGCGTGGTCATAACAACATCAACGAATTCGGCTGAATCAGAATTGTATTAATATTGTATAGTAAAAATGAAATGTATTAGAGGATTTTGGAATGAGATATTAGTGCACTAAAAGTGAATTTCTCATGCATTTTTCATAATTTGCTAGCTATTGGACAAAAACCTACCACTTCACATTAATATACAGTTAAACCTCTATAAATTAATACAGTTGGGACCATCAAGATTTCATTAATTTAGCGAAATATTAACTTATCGATAAATTAATAATTATTAATTTATACATTAATTAATAATTTATTAATTTATGAAATTACTTTTATTATTATTTTTAATAAATATATTTTTTTTTTATTTTTTACATATATATTATTCATTGTACAATTCGTTCAATGCATTATAGAGCCCGTTTCACGAATGGAGGCTCTTAAAACAGTAATGATATAGAACGATTTATGTTGAGTTATGAGAAAACTATACCGAAAGTTCTAACCATGTTAAGAAAAGTGAGCGACGAGATTGATGGTAATGTGAACTTCTACAAGAAACAAGTGAGAATTAAATTATATTTTATTAAGCCTTCATAGATCTATAAAATATGCACTGTACCATGTAATTTAAGAATTTGTTTTATGCATTATTAATTTATATATTATATGGGGCTTCTTAAAATTTCTGAATGTGTATTATCTTATAAATTTAGCGAATTATTAATTTAGCACGTTGTCCCCGAGTCGGGACCGGGAAAATTTATTATTTAAGCGAGGTTATTAATTTATCGGGTATTAATTTATCGAGGTTCTACTGTACTTGGCTTTCATACACGATGAAGCCGATAAAAGATGGTCATAAAACATGACCAACAATTACCAAAAAAACTAGCTACTTAATTTTGTATATATTTTTTTCAAATTTGAGTTTTAAGTTTTCTCTACTTATATATTTTTTACGGCGCCGGTTATATGCAAGCCCATTGTTTTATTAGTTCAAGACCTCCAATATAAAAATACTTATTTACCCTTAATGAAATTTAAAATCAAATAAAAAAAAATATTAAAAAAAAAAAAATCATTTTCTTTGTGCAAGACCAAATAAAATACATAAATCCAGAAACCCCTCTTTCTTATTTCTTGACTTAAAACTCTCCTTCTTCTCCTTATTTTTCACAAACCCACCAAGAAATCCTACACACCAAAATTATCAAATACATACCAAACATTCACGATTGAACCAGAAAACAATGATATGGTGGTTTACGAGGGTGGAGAACACAATGAAATATGTTTTAATCGTTTATTTTTGCTTTTGGGTCGTTTTTTTTTGTTGGGAAAAAAATTCGACGATACCAAAAATCGGTCTGCAAATACCGATTTTTGTTACTAAAGTCGGTAACCACATTCCGATTATTTTAATAAAAATCGGTATTTACAAACCGATTTTTGTAGTAAAAATCGGCATGACAACACCGATTTGTTTTTGTATTATCGGTATTGTCATGCCGACTTGTACTACAAAAATTGGTTTTTAAATACCGATTTTATTATCTGTGTTTTTTTAAGACCGTTTTCTCATACTTTCGTGCATCAACCTAGGGGATTGATGGAGGATTATTCAAATGAATTATCTAACGAATAAATATTTGAGATACGGAAAGTCGATTGGGTTAAAGGAGTGGTAGACGCCACCGAATGGTGATAAACATTTTCGTTTCAAATATTTAAAAAATATCAATTAACCAAATATATAATGTATTATTTAAAAAAAAAATTCAAAAAATATCGGTATTCGAAAACCGATTTTGTACTCAATAATCGACATTAGAACGCCGATTTTGACTTGTAAAGTCGACGTTGTGTCGCCGATTTGGTTAACAAAAATCGGCATTATGACGCCGATTTTCGTGTACAAAATCGGTCTGGATAAACCGATTTGGGAAACCAACGAAAAAAAATAAAAAAAACCAATTTCAATCTCAATGTTTTTTCCAAAATCGGTCAAATCATTGCAACCCAACAAGAAATAAACATAGATTAATGTTCATTCATACATATTTATCAAGAATCGATGTTCGATTAATTTTTTCAAATTTACAAATAAAAATTTAGTAAAAAGGACATCCATGTTCGATTAATGTTTTCGAATTTACAAACAAAAGTTTAGTAAAATGGACTTACTAGTTGGTGGTGGTACGGTGGTGGAAATGGTGCGGTGGGTGGGTCGCTAGTCATCGCCGGTGCGGTGGAAGTCTCGCTGGTTGGCAGCCGTGATATTTCTTTTTTTTTTCTTTTTTTTTTTGGTCTTGAATAAATTAAAAATAAGATTTATTTGTATTTGAGTATTATTTGTGGATAAGGGTATATTTGTCATCTTTGGTCTTGATGTAATAAAATTAGATTAATTTACGGGCTTGAACTAATAAACTCCTTTATGTGGTTTTGAACTAATAAAAAAATGGGCTTGCATATAACCGCCGCCATTTTTGACTGTATATGAAGTAGGGGTGTAAACGAGCCGAGCCGACTCGTGAGCTCGAAGAGCCGGCTCGTAAAAAGCTCGAACTCGGACTCGAGATTTTCGAGCTCGAGCTCGAGCTCGCGAGCTCGAGCTTTCTGACGAGCCGAGCTCGAGCCGGTTTTCAGTTGTTCATGAGCTCGCGAGCCGGCTCGCGAGCCGGATTTATTATTATTTTTTTATTATTTATTATTTTTTATATGTTATTTTTATTTAAATAATGTATAATAATGTCAAATATTATAGAAATAAATACCAATATTACCAATATATATAATTACAATTTAGTTTTTATTTTTTATTTTTTTAAATAATTTCTAATAATAAAATAATAATTACCAAAATATTTTAAAAAAATAAAAAAAAAGACAATGGGCTCGAGCTCGAGCTCGACAAAATTGACACGAGCTCGAGCTCGAGCCAAAAAAGAGGAGCTCGACAAGCTCGAGCTCGAGCTCGACAAAATAAACTCGAGCTCGAGCTCGAGCCAGCCAAAAGAGGCGAGCTCGGCTCGAGCTCGGCTCTTTTACACCCCTAATATGAAGTTTAGACAATTATATACGAGTATTAAGATTTATATAAGTGTGGAAAAGAGGATTAAGAGATAAGAAGCCCATTAAATCGCTTAACCTTAACAAATTAATTATAAATCATTTCAAGCATGTTCACCAGGGAAGGAGCGCTACCCGTACAGTACACGCCGATAGCTAACATCACCCTCATCATGCGCGCGTCCTCCCCGCCCATGGGCGAGTCCACCCTTAGGCAATGATAGACTCAAGCCCACCCTCATTTTGCAATAGTCCCCATATATTATACTATATTTCTATTTAGCCCACCAAATTTTATTAATTAGCTCACCCAAAATTTCAATTAATGCAAAAGAAGCCCTATATTTTATTAAATAGCCCACCCAAAATCCAAATTAATGCAAAAAAACTCTAAAATTTGTTTTTTTTTTCGTTTCTCCTTTTCCTATTTTCAAATAAATCCTAAAAAAATCTCTTGGGCGCTGCCCCCGAACCCCCAAAAATTGAAGCCCACCTTGTACCGAATTCCTGGACTCGCCACTGTCCCCGCCCACGTTAGAATCGCCGCGACTCCAAGGAAGCCATCCAGGAACGCGTCTCCAAGTTCATCGGCTTCATCACCGTCGAGGCGAACGAGTGGTGCCACCGTGACTATCGGAAAACCGTCACGCCTGACGATGTGCCGGTGGCAATGGCGTTGTTGGGGTCCAATGACTATTTGGAGACCCTCCTCATTTTCCTCAACAAGCACCGTGCACAGCAGGACCCCGAGAACAGCTCTACGAATCAGCTACCGCAGTTCGTTAGACGGGGCAGCAACGCGACGATCGACGGTGGCTTTGTAGCTAAGGGCTGAGCCCACCATAGTCCAAAATATTTCACTACTATATATTAGTTAATCTATTTAATTAATCCATTCAATTTATGTTATGCATAAAATTGCTTAAGTAATATAAATTGGATGGACTAATTAAATAGATTAAGTAATATGTAGTAGTGAAATTATTTTGGACTATGGTGGGCTCAGCCTTTAGCTACAATCACGACCCAAATATTGCAAATATCGTATCTCGATATCAAGTGATATTTTACAGATATGTGAGGACTATCAGTAGTCAATACATATGCCAGTTAGGATATTATTAGGATTATCCTAACAATGTTGAGTTATACTATTTCTACAGAAATCGTATCATATCACGATATTGACTACATTGTATAGTCATGTTTTATTACGGAATAAGTATAATGTAATTATCAAACATCGAAAAGTATCATTTTCTACAAATCTATAAAAGTCAATGCATGCGTGTAAAGTAAAATCTTTAACAACTCTTAAAAATGGCAATAAATTAAAAATAATACCCATAGAAAAGAAGTTTTAATTTGTGTGTGGTTTTCTAGTGCATTATTATATCATAATACACTTGGGCTTAAAACTTCTGAAATGAATTAAACTCGAAGGAGCCTTCTCCACTCCCATGGTTGTACAAGATATATTCATTCATTTATTTTTCGTCACCTCACCAATTTATTCCCCGTCTTCGACTGAAGCAGCAGCAGGCGGCGTCAAGGGGACATAATACCCCACCATGTATGCACCTTGTTGATGTTGCTGCTGATGATGAACAAAGCCACCGACCGTCCGTCGCACTTATGCCGCGCCTGACGAATTGCGGTAGCTGAATCGTAGAGTCGCGATCAGGACCCTGCTGTGTGCGGTGCTTGTTGAGAAAAAGGGTGAGAGGTTCTAAATAGTCATCGAAACCCAGCGACACCGTTGTCGCCAGCACGTCCTCAGGCGTGACGGTGTTCCGGTAGTCGCGGTGGCACCGCCTGTTCGCCTCGGTGGTGATGAAGCTAATGAACTCGGAGACGCACTCCTGGATGGCCTCCTTGGCATCGTCAGTGATTCTAGCGTGGGCGGGAAGGACGCGCCGCATGATGCGGGTGATATTAGATATCGGCATGTACTGGTCCACCTCTCTTTTGAGTTTTGAATCCTTGTCGCTGCTCCTGATTCACTTCTCCGGCTGCAGCATTGACTGCGGCTGGGATGTCGGCAACATTGGCGGCGGCACCAACGACGCTCCCTTCCCTGATGACCATGCCTAAAATGATATATAATAATTAATTAGTTGAGGTTAAGCGGTTTAATAGGCTTTTTATCTCTTAATCTTTCTTTTTACACTGACATTATTCTTAATACTTGTATAGAATTATCTAATCTTCATATACAGTTCAAAAACATATACAAAGTACAAAAATATATAAGTAGAAAAAACTTAAAACTCGAACTTGTTAAAAAAATATATAATCTTTAATTATCTTCATCATCATGTGTAAAAGCCAAAGTATATTGATGTGAAGTGCCAGACCTTTTGTCCAATAACTAACAAGTATCACTTTTTGTGCACTAATCTCCCACTTCAAGATCATTACATTTCATTTTTATTTTACTATATTTATATAATTCTACATATTAATATACATATATGATGTGTATCCAAAAATGAATTGCGAGGTATAGCAATATAAATGAAATACAGATTCATCCAAATTGCTTAAAAAACATTGAGAATATATGAAATGATTTTCCCTTTTTCATCCCAATCAGGCCATTTCTAATTTGATCCATATGGAATCACATTTTATTGTGATAAATAAAGAACTATTATTAATTGTCAAAAAAAAAAATGTGACTGAATTAAAGAATTTATATATGCGTGTGTGTGTATATATTAACTAAAAATTAAAATAGAAAAATAAATTGAGTGGAAACAAGAAAAATTGGAAACCAATTAGCATATAAAAAATCAAAAAAAAAAAAAAAAAACGTTGCATGTCAAACATAAAAGAAATCAGAATAGAATGATATACGAAATTCACAAAAAAAGATTTTTTATCCAATTCACGCAAGTTGATCTATAGAGCATCTAGAAGATTTGTGAACTTAAATCGCACCAAATTTGCAAATAGAAGATCGATTATCAAAATACCAAATCTATCGTATTAACAAGTGATTTTTACTCCCGCTGATGAGAGATTTGAAAATAAATTTTAAAAATACAAATCTATACACATTGTTCGTATAGATTTAGTCTTAAAAATCAAATGTTATGAAAAATTGAGTGCATTTTTTACCAGATGTGCGTGCTCTTCTGGTGTATTTATGTTCTATGTTTGAGCTTCCTCCTCTTTCCATCTCTTCAAATTTTATTTTTTGATTCGAAATCTGTGTTTTTTCAGCTTCTATCTGTTGTTCACACAAATGTAACAAATTATTTTGTTATGCCTCTTACTCTTGTGTGTTTGATGAATTGGGAAGTTACAAAGAAGTACATTAAATATATAGACAAGTAAGACCTTTGAAATGAGTCCACCACTGTAGAATTAGGATTGTGAAAGGTACGGGCAAAATTGGCAAAGACTATTAATTGTTGAAACAACGGAAAATCATGTGAAGCAATATTACTTGTATATGAGTTGTTAAACTTATAATTATTCATTTTTTCTAAAAAATGAAATTAATCTCAATTCATATGCTATTATTTACACGTCGCTCAAATACTAATATAGAAATTATTCAAAATCATTAAGTCAGGATAGACACGACTTAATTACGATAATTATTTAATTCACAATTAAATTGTGTCTATCTCGACTTAATGAATTTTTGAATAACTTCTATATTAGCATTTGAACGACCTCTAAATGATTGCATACGAATCTAACATAATTGCATTTCATTAGTAAAAATAAATAATTATAAGTGTAAAAACTCATATACATGTAATATTACTTCACATAATTTTCACTAAATTTATGCACAATATTTTGATGTATTTTTGTAATTATTTCTTATTAATTTATATAAATAAAGTCAAATATTATTCATAAAAATCAAATATGTCATCTTCTTGAGTAAATAAAATGAATCACTTTCTCTTCTAAATATCATGGTACTCTAAAAAAAATAAAACATCTTTAAATTCCACAAAATCTTCTACTCACCAAAAAAGGCAAAATTGGTCACTTTTCCGTTGTTTCAACAATTAATAGTCTTTGCCAATTTCGCCCCTACTTTTCTTAACCTTAATTTTGTATTTGTGGACTCTTTTCAAATGTCTCACTTGTCTATATATTTAACACACTTGTTCCTTGAAACTTCACAACTCATCAATCACACAAGAGTAAGAGGCATACAAAGTTATTTTGTTACATTTGTGTGAACAAAAGAGAGAAGGTGAGAAAAACACAGAGTTCGAATCAAAAATAAAATTTTGAAGAGATGGAGAGAGAAGGAAGCTCAAACATAGAACATAAATACACGAGAAGAGCATGCACATCTGGTAAAAACTGCACTCAATTTTTCCTAACATTTATTAAGACTAAATCTATATGAACAATGTGTATAGATTTGTATTTTTCAAAATTAATTTTCACATCTCTCATTTGCTTGAGTAAAAATCATGTGTTAATATGATAGATTTGGTGTTTGGACAATCGATCTTCTATTTGTAAATTTTGTGCGATTTAAGTTCACAAATCTTCTAGATGCTCTACGGATCTACTTGAGTGAATCAGATAAAAACTCTTTTTTCTGGCTTTTGTATATCATTCTATTCTGATTTCTTTTATGTCTGACGTGTAACGTTTTTGTTTTTATTTTTATTTTTATTGTTTTTGTTTTTTTATTTTTGTCACCATAGAACATACTTTCATCATTGGTTTTTTTTTTTTTTTTTTTTGGATTTCGTTTATGTATTAATTGGTTTCCAATTGTCCTTGTTTCCTCTCAATTTATTTTTCTATTTAACTAATATATATATATATATATATTCAATAATTCAACCACATTTTTTTACAATGATTAATAGTTCTTTATTTTATCACAATATAGATCAAATGAGAAATGGCCTGGTCGTGATGAAAAAGGAAAAATCAATTCAATATATATGCTTAATCTTTCTTTAAGCAACTAATTGGATGGATATGTATTTCATTTCTATTGCTATATCTCACAATTCATTTTTGGATAGACATCATATATGTATATTAATGACATTGTTAATGTAGAATTATATTAGTATCGTAAAATTAAAATGATATGTAATAGAGGATCTTGGTGTGAGAGATTAGTGCATTTTTCATATGTTATTAGCTATTGGACAAAAGCCTTTTGCACTTCACATCAATATACTTGGTTTTGTACACATGATGAAGACAATAAAAGATGATTTTAAGACATAACCAATAATTTCAAGAAAACTAGCTACTTAATTTTATATATTTTTTTTAACAATTTGAAGTTTTAAAGTTTTTTTTGTTGGTATATTTTTGAACTTCGCATATGCTTTTGAAATGTATATAAAGTTTAGAAAATTCTATACAAGTATTAAGATTAATATCAGTGTGGAAAAGAGGATTAAGAGATAAGAAGCCAATTAAATCGCTTAATCTTAACCAATTAATTATATATCATTTCAGGCATGGTCATCAGGGAAGGGAGCGCCGCTAGTGCCGCCACCAATGCTGCCAACATCCCGCCCCCAGTCAATGCTGCAGCCGGAGAGGTGAACCAAGAGCAACGGCAAGGATTCAAAAGAGAGGCAGACCAATACATGCCGATAGCTAATATCACCCGCACTATGCGGCGCGTCCTCCCCGCCCACGCTAGAATCACCGACGATGCCAAGGAGGCCATCCAGGAGTGCGTCTCCGAGTTCATCAGCTTCATCACTGTTGAGGCGAACATGCGGTGCCACCGCGACTATCGAAAAACCGTCACGCCCGAGGATGTGCTGGCGGCAATGAAATCACTGGGTTTCGATGACTATTTGCAGCCCCTCGCCGTTTTTCTCAACAAGTACCGCACACAACAGGACCCCGAGCGCGATTCTACGAATCAGCTACTGCAGTTCGTCAGGCGCGACAACAACGCAGCGGTCGGGGGTGGCTTTGTTCATCATCATCAACAACAACAACAACAACAAGGTGCACAGATGGTGCGGCCGCCGCCACCACCACCAACAGCACCGACAATGTGGTATTATGCCCCCTTGTCGCTGCCGCCAGCTGCTTCAGTGGAAGATGAGGAAAAAATTGGCGGGTCACAAAGATAATGAATGAATATATCTTGTTCAATTTATTTCAGAAATTTTAAGTAGAAGTGTATTATATATAATAATGCACTAAAAAAGCACACACAAATTAAATTCTTTTTTCTACGGGTGCTATTTTTAATTTAGAGTAAACTGCAAAAAGTACCCCTGTGAAATTTCAAACTAGCAAAAACCCCCCTATGATAAATAAACTAGCAAAAACCCCCCTATGAAAATTTGTTAAAGGCAAAAACCCCCCTAGTGCATTTTCGTGTTGCACACTCGCCGAGTGTGCAGCTGGTGACGAATTTTTAGATCTGAAATTACATAATTACCCCCAAAATTTTATTAATATGTAATTTCATGATTTTTCCGGAAATTCCTACACAAACCTTAATCTCCATCTTCCCGACTTCAATTCGACCAGCGTCCTCCCACTACCGCAGCACAGCCTCCACCGTCGGCTGCTCTGCTGTGCTGCTCTACCATAGCCGTCGCGTAAGTCCAGGCTCGATCATGAGGACGAACAAGGGCGCTGACGATCGGAGGAGCTTCCGGAAATTTGGGGACTTGGGAAGCAGTTAATCTTTTAATCGACTCTGATTTAGAAGCCCTCTTCGGCGGCGGCGGCAATTGGAGCCTAGCGGAGCCCTACAACCCCGATTACAAACTGGCGTTCGAGTCTTTCTTCACCACATATCACATCTGCGTTCGTGTTCAACGGATTTTGTGGATTTTTTTTTTTTTTTTGTGTTGTTGCTAGGTTTGCAGAAACAAAGCTAGCTTCTTTCCCACTGTTTTTAATTTTTGTTTTGTTTTGTTTTGGATCTTGAAAAAAAAAATAGATAGAATTTTCTAGTTTGTTTTTGCTGGTTGGGATTGAATAATTAAGTGGGAAGACGATGGTGGTGGTGTTGGAGATGGCATCGGGATTCAAATCGTTGAAGATGATGATGATTCGATTTATCTTTTTATTTTTATTTTTTTTATTTTTTTATTTTCTTGATTTTTTCTGATTATTAAAAATTAGGTATGCAAATTAAATGGAAATATTATATTTTAAAAAAAAATCGTCAATAAACATATACATAATATTGTAATTTTTTTTTTTCTCTTGCACAATTTAGTGTAGGAATAATTTAAAAGTTGTAAAGAAATTATATGATAATTTTAAAAATAAAAAAACCCCTTTCCATTTTTTTAATTACAAGATATAACAAAAATAATTTTTTTTATCAGTAATAAAAAATAAAATAGTTAGAACATTAGAAAATAAGAATTGAAATATCTCATTTGTGCTTTTTTTAATACTATAAAAATAGATATTTCACAGGGTTTTTTTGTCAATTTACACAAGGTCAGCCTTTAAATTGGTGGTGGGTCAAGTGTGCTATTTAAAAAAAAACACAGGGGGGTTTTTGCTAGTTTATTTATCACAGGGGGGTTTTTGCTAGTTTGAGATTACACAGGGGTACCTTTTGCAATTTACTCTTTTAATTTATGGGTAATATATTAGACACTCCTTAAACCAAACTTAATTATATATGAGTGACAAGCTCAAATAGATTATTTTAATTACATCCCTACTTTAAATTTAAAATTGATACACATTCTTCGATTTTTATTTAACCCAAAGATACCCTTACAATAACTAATATAAATCACGTTTCTCTCTTTTTTTTTTCTCATTTATCTCTCTCACGTCGTCCAGACAACCCACCCTTCTCTGTTTCTCAACTCAACCCCACTTTTTTTTTTTTTTTTTTTCTATTCTATTTAACAGATCTGAATATAATAAATGTTAAATTTAGTTATGGTTGTGGAGGCTACGACGGTGGTCATGGTAAGTTGCGGCGGCTATGGAGGCTGTGGGTATAGTGGCGGTGGTTATGGAGGCGGTGGGTATGGTGGCGGTGGTTATGGAGGCGGCTATGGTAAGTTGCTGCGGCTATGGAGGTCGTGGGTATGGTGGAGATAGTTATGGAGGCGGTTAGGGACAGTGGTGGTCACAAGGGGGTGCTTATGGGAATAGGGAAGGGTCGGGAGGCGATGAATATGGAGGTGGTGGCGGCTATGGAGACGGTTTTGCAAATCTAAGTTTTTATTTTGGCGGCTACGGCGACGGTGGTTGTAGATCTAGGGTTTTATTTTTGGATAACTATGAATTTTCGTAGGTGTCTATGGTTGTCTATGGCTGGCTGGCGGCTAGGGTTAAAAGGAGGAGCTAGGATTAAAAGGAGGAGCTAGGATTTCAAGATGTCTGTGGGTTACTACGGATTACTACGGTTTCCTACAGGTTTCTGTAGATGTTTATGACCGAAAAAAATTAAAAAAATCATAATTTTCAATTTATGTAGAAATGTTGGGAAAAAAAATAGATTTTTATATAATGAAAAAAATCGAAAAATGAAAAAAAAAAGAAACACACAAAAGAAAAACGTGTTCACGTAAAAATTAAAAAAAAAATGCTAGATGCAAACTTAAAAATATTAAATAGTACCATAGTTCATCATAGTGTATTTACAATCTGTTGTAATTTCGAATTTGTGTGTGGTGGGGCATTTTTGGAATAAATTTAATAAAGGATGTGAAGCAAATTTTAATTAGACTTGTCATTTAGTTCTAATAAGGTTTGTCACCAGGGACTTATATCTTAATACCCCTTTCATTTATTATCATTTTTAATACTCCATCTGTTCCACAATAACCGTCTCTTTTTAAAATTATTTTTGTTCCATATTATCTGTCATTTTACATTTCCAATACTGCATAAATTGTGTAATTATCAATTTTACCCTTATTAACTATCTCCAACACTCTCTCACATTAATTATTGGCAAGAGCATTTTAGTATAAGAACATATATTTTTCTAAAATTAAACAACATTTATTGAGATCCTTAATCCTTGTGCACAAGCTAAAAACGACAATTATAAAGGTACGGAGGGAGTAATTGCTAAGATTGCAGCATTACATGCATGCATTAAATTTCCCAGATTGGTTGAAATTGATACTTTAGTATGTTTGATATTATATTATACTTCGTTTCTTTATAAAAACATGATTATGAAATGTAGTCAATATCGTAATAAAATACAATTTCTGTAGAAACAATATAAGTATATAACTCAACAATGTTAGGATAGTCAAATCCCAATAGGCATATGTATCGATAGTCTTCAAATATCGATAAACATCGCTTGATATCGAAATACAATATTTGCAACATTTTTTTCGAGGGTGCTCAGGGGCAATTGTAGCTAAGGGCCGAGTCCACCCGAGTCCAAATTGTTTTCACTACTATATATTAGTTAATCTATTTAATTAGTCCATCAAATTTATATTACTTAGTCTATTTTATTCATAATTTTAATTCAAGTCCATGAAAATACTTTAAAATTGTCACAAATACACGTAATTTTATACATAATTTAAATTGGAGCCCATAGAAATCTTTTACAATTTGACACGAATACACCAAGTACATAACAATATAGTCTCAAAGAAATCAATTATAAATAATTCTTTTCAACATTAACACTCTCTTGCACATAATAATTTGAAGAGTACAAATATAAAATCTTCCAATTACAAACTTATTTTATATTTCGTTTTGAAGATATTTTCTTATTCATTTACCATTAGTTTAATGACCGACTATTTGGAATTATTGTTTTTAATATTTGTTTGTAGAAAATATGAATTTTATGTAAATACTCATTTACACAGAGAATTCCAAATAAAACATTTACTTATTTTATGTTTATACCCCTAAAACTAATTTTGGGGGCGCTGCCCCAGTACTCGCGCTCTTTTTCAGCCCATCCTCATTATAATTCTGGCCTCCCCAATGGGCATGTTTTGTTCGATTTTCAACTCATTTTGGGGCGACTATGTGCAATTTTCGCGAATTAGTGGTGATTTGTGTGCGCTTATCATAACCGTTAATGATATAAAAATAAAAGGACAAACATAACAAAATTTAAAAACTAACCGAACAAATCACACAAATTCGTTTGAAGATGTTGACTTAGTTTTCGATTCTCCAGTCCTCGTCCAATATCAAATGGGGCATTCAAATACTCATCGCAGCGTCACTCACACACATTCAGTGTATCCGGCAAAAAAGGCCCAAACAAAAAACCAAAATTAAAATAAAAAATTATCTCAAATCCTAATATATATGGCAAAATTACCCTAAGGCCTTTAAACCAACTCATAATTGTAAACCCAATATTAACTCTAATTTCACCAAATTTTGACCCCTAAATTCGATTTGGACTATTTGTCCCCGCTCTTGACTTTTTTATTTCGAAAATAAATTACAGCGGTTGATCGGCGATCAACGCCGGTATGGCATGTTTTTTAATGAATTTTTTTTTTTTTTTTTGCCGTTGACCAGCGTTGACTTTTCTATTGAATTTATTTTTTACAAACTTATTTTATGCCGATGAACAGTGAACACAGTAATATTATTGGCTAACATTAAATTTTTTTCGTTGTATTGATATGTCAACAAAATAATATTGTTGCATTACAGAGGAATATTACTTTGTAACACAGTAATATGGGGCTCTTAGATTTAGCCCTCTCAAACATTGCAATACTAGGAAAAGTCTAAACACTTCTTTTTTTCATTAGACAAAAGTTACACCCTAAATCCCCATAATTCTACCTTCCCAAACATAAAATCGTTCAAGTATGGCTACTTCGTCCCATGCGCCTCCGCATAAGTCGTCTTCTCCGCAACCACCATCGTTTTTCTGCCATCGATTTTATTATTGTTATGTAACATGAGTTTACGTAATGGACTACATGATTCAAATAGTCCACTAATAAATCAATGAGGTTTCTTTTATATTCCATTTATTGTTTCTGTGATCTGATATATCTTTAATAATTTAGTCAACTATAGTATTTTGATAGCCGATTAATAAATCAACTGTGTAAACATTAGTCAATTTACATCTAGTTTAATCTAGAATTTCATGAAAAACACAAAGAGGGGTTATCACTAATTATTTCAAAGGGTTTGACCTACTATCTCAAGTCAATTTCAGAAAGAGGGGGCTTTCACCAATGTTTCCTGAAACATTAATATTACTTTAGTATTATTGTGTAACACAACAAAATTATTTAATTTTTAATGTTACTACGTTAGACAATAATATAGTTAATATTATTGTCTTAGACAATGAAATTAGTGTGTCCATCGGGAAAATAATGTTTATAAAAAAAAAAAGTTTAAAAACAAAGTCAACAACGGTCAAAATTGATGGAATTGAAGTCAACGATGGTCAAAGTTGGTTAACATAGAGATCTAGATTTACTTGAGAAACTCGAATGTTCAACCGATCTATATATGAGTTTCTAAAATAAAATTTGGAGACCCATTTTACTTAGTTTGCCCTTACAAAAAAAATCCGAAAAATTCGTAAATTTCTTATTTTGAGTTATATTAAAAAAAAATTAAAAAATTAAAAAGAAAACTATTCCAAAATAACAAAAAATCATAATCGTAGAAGGGAATCCAAGAAGGCCTAATTATAAGTCTCACCAATTTCCATTAAAATTTAAACATAAAAATACCCTCTTTTATTTTTGAATTTTGATTAAACATCAGAATTGATTTTCGAGCCTCAAAAGTGGTCGGAGGTTCCTTATGAACCAGGTTTCTGCTCTGTCGCCACAATCGCGCCACCTCTTCGCCAAGTTACGCCACTTCGCCGACCACAAAACCATCTCCAATGGCAAATCAATCCACGCCCATCTCCTCAAAACCGCCGCATTTCCCACGTGCTCAATCCTCTCCACCACTCTCCTCAACTTCTACGCCAAATGCCATCTCTTCTCCGACGCCCGCCGCCTGTTCGCCGAAACACCGTACAAACAGAACGCCGTTCTGTGGAACGTCCTCATCAACAACTATTCCCAACTGGGCCTCGCCCATCACTCGCTCTCATCCCTGCAACTCTTCAAACAAATGCTCCGCCACGGCAGCCTCCCGAATTCCCACACCTTCGCCGGCGTTTTCTCCGCCGCCGTTGTTCTGGAGGACGCGGTTATGGCCCACCAAGCGCATTCTCTCGTGGTGAAGTTGGTCGAATCCGCCGACGTGTTCGTGTACAGCTCCATGGTGAACGTCTACGCCAAGTTGGGTTTCCTGGACGAGGCCCGCAACGTGTTCGACGAAATGCCCGTGAGGAACTCGATCACGTGGTCAACTATGATTTCTGGCTATGCTTCTCGGAGGCTGGCGGACAAGGCTTTCGGGATTTTCCGGTGGATGTTGTCGGGAGGAGCAGAGGAAGAGTCCAATGAGTTTGTCTTCACTAGCGTTCTCAGTGCTTTTACATCACCCGAGTTTGTCAATCTGGGCAAACAAGTTCACTGCTTAGCAATCAAGAATGGCTTGTCGGAAATTGTTTCGGTTGGAAATGCCGTTGTTACCATGTACGCTAAATGTGGGAGCTTGAAGAACTCAATACAAATGTTCGAGCTTTCGACCGAAAAGAATTCCATCACGTGGTCAGCTATGATAACAGGGCATGCACACAACGGGGAAGGCGAAAAGGCATTAGCATTGTTCCACGACATGCATTCACATGGGATGAAGCCAAGTGAGTACACACTCGTTGGTGTACTTAACTCCTGCAGCGACACCGAACAAATCAATATCGGAAAGCAAGTGCATGCGTATTTAGTAAAAGCCGGATTCGAACACCAAATGTACATCACAACTTCTTTGGTCGATATGTACGCTAAGTGCGGCTATATAGTCGAAGCCCAAAAAGGGTTCGACTATCTGCACGAGCCCGATCTAGTACTATGGACATCCATGATAGGAGGGTACGTACAAAACGGTGATAACGAGAAAGCTTTTAGCTTGTACTGCACAATGCAAACGAAAGGGATTGCTCCAAACGAGCTAACCATGGCTAGCGTGTTGAAAGCTTGTTCGAGCCTCTCGTCTTTAGAGCAAGGGAAACAAGTGCACGCGCACGTTGTAAAAAATGGATTCAGTCTCGAAGTTCCGATAGGGAGCGCCCTCTCGACCATGTACTCAAAGTGTGGGGCCCTCGATGATGGATATTCCGTTTTCCGAAGGATGCCTAGCGTGGACGTCATATCGTGGAATGCGATGATTTCGGGCCTCGCGCAAAACGGGTTCGGAAATGAAGCACTCGAACTATTCGAAGAGATGCAATGGGAAAATGCGAAGCCTGATTATGTGACGTTCGTGAATGTTCTCTCTGCGTGTAGCCACATGGGATTGGTTGATCGAGGTCGAGAGTATTTCGAATTAATGTTGGATAAATTCGGTTTGGCTCCGAGGGTGGAGCACTACGCGTGCATGGTGGATGTATTGGGTAGGGCGGGGAAGCTTCTAGAAGCTCGGGAGTTTATCGAGTCGGCTGCTAATATAGATCATGGTTTATGTTTGTGGCGGATTTTGTTGAGTGCGTCGAGGAATTATCGGGACTTTGAGATGGGGATTTACGCGGGGGAGAAGTTGGTGGAATTGGGGTCGAGTGAATCTTCGGCTTATGTGTTGTTGTCGAGTATTTATTCGGCTTTGGGAAGATTGGAAGATGTTGAAAGAGTGAGGAGGGTAATGAATACGAGGGGGGTTAGTAAAGAGCCGGGGTGTAGCTGGATTGAGCTCAAGAATCAGGTGCATGTGTTTGTCGTTGGAGATTTATTGCACCCCGAGATTAAGAATATACGCGAAGAATTGTGGAGGTTTAGTAAAGTTATGATGGAGGACGAATTGGATTACGAGACAGTGTTAGAAGAATAGCTGTGTATTTTTTGTCTGAATTGATGAAAGAGATTACCTCGAAAGATTTTTTACAAGGAGAGCTGAGTGAGGTATTTAACGACGTGAATTCGATTTATCATGCTAATACTTTTTATGTTGAGCTCGTTGTACATGATTTGCTCAGTGGGGTTCACACCTTTTCGTGCGGTGTGCGCGATTAACAAGAGCGATGCACATTTGTGGCTGCAACTATTTTTGTCAAATAAAAGAAATGAGAACAATCCAAATCTTCCTTTCTGATGATATTATCTTTTGACTGTGTTTATATTCCTTCTCATTGAATGGTTTTCCAGTAACTAACTTCTGCACAAGATAAATTCGCAGAAAATACGTCGCAAACTTCCCATTTCATCATCGTCACGACGAGAAATGCACATGAAATGTTTATACCCAAAGAATCGGAGCCTTTCGGAGCTAAGAACTCATAGGCCCGAGTCTTGAAATATTCGGATAAACTTGAAACACAAGTGAGTCTCGGACGACGGAAAAATTGGTGTTTAATTTCCATCTCTTGAACTTACATTAAGTAATACAACATTGCTTGGAAACAGACTGCCATTAAACAAGCTTTAGAGTAAATCTGCATATCTAAATTTATTTTATTACTAATTTGACGCATTCTCTAACTAAAACAATCAAAGAGGGTATTTTATTCCATCGAAATCGTCAACGGTTAACGTCGATTAAAAGGGTAAAATAGAGAATTCACTCGAATTTTTTTTACAATGCCATTAGTTTCCACCCAAGAGAACTATCTAAGAGGGGAGATCCGGGTAATAAATTTTCACCTGAGTAGTGCCGTGTAATTTCATTATCTAAGAAGGGGTCACGTGATTTTCTCCTTTATAGTAAAGTTTACGATTTATAGCTTATGTAAAAGCAGGCGAGCACCGTACTGCGGCTGGAGAGTGAGAATAGGGAACGGAGCGTGCAAATAAGACGGTGACAGCTCAAACGAAAAGCGCTGCAGTATCATTGCCATAGCTATTTTAGCCTCGATCATCGCAAATTGTTGGCCGATGCATACTCTCGGACCTAAGCTGAACGGTATGAACGAGAATTGGCCTTTGGTCGCACTCGAAATCCCGTCAGAAAACCTCTCCGGTTTGAACTCATTCACATCATCTCCCCAAATCTTCGGGTCATTATGCACTAAACCTATTATTAGCAACAAATCCACCCCCAACGGTAGAATCATGTCGCCCAATTTCACCGTCTTTGTCGGTGTTCGAGAAATCACCGGTGCCGGTGGGTACATCCTAAGAACCTCATTGAGAATCATGGTAACCTGCAAAAGTTGTTGAGATAACATTAATCTCTTGCAATGAATTCTAAGAAACGTAACGGTAAATTACGGCCACCTCCTTAGTTATGGTCAAATTACGAAAAACCCCTCATGTTTTGGTAATTACAGCCAAACCCTCAACTATGTATTATCTTACGAAAATACCCCTCCAGAGGTAAATTTAAGGATGTTAAATCGGTAAAAGGAATTTCGGTACGCCAACATTTCATACCGTTTACCGAACTGAATATACGATTCGGTTCGGTAAATAACCGAATTTTACGTAAAAAATATTTAAAAGAAGGTGGGTGGCTGTAATTACCCAAACAAGAGGGGTTTTTTGGTAATTTGGCCATACCTCAGGGGTGGCCGTAATTTGCCCGAAACGTAATAATAAGAAGATGATTGTCTTACGATTTTAAGGCGGTTTAGGGCGTCGAAAGTGGGTTCGTTGTTTCCGAAAACTTGGGAAACTTCTTCTCTCGCACGGGTTTGCCATTCTTGATGTTTGCTAAGCATCACCATTGTCCACACAAGCAAAAGCGAAGTGGTTTCCGAGCCCGCAAAGTAGAATAGCCTGCATTCTTTGATCACATCATCGATACTCATTCCCATATTCTTTTTGCTCCCATTTTCATCGATTTCCCTGCGATTCGATTCCATTAGTGTGCTTAACAAATCGTCCCCGTTGACTTCTCCCTTTTCCATTGCCTTCTGTCTTTGGTCGATTATACCCCTCAGTAAGGATTCGATTTCTTTGGCGTTCGCCTTCATTCTCTTGTTCGCTTTTGTCGGCACAAATCTATTATCACGAAACCAATAAATAAATAAATAAATCATCGTCCAAGTACATATATATATACATATATATATATATATATATATATATATATATATATATATATATATATATGTGGTTCGATAATATATACATTTGGAATCTTAATTTGTACCTCCACCCGGGAATGAAAATGAACTGCATGATCTCCAAAACGAGCTTCACTTGATCCTTTTGAAGCTCGAATATTTTCCCTCCTTGTTCATGGCTACTACCAAACGCTACCCGAGAAATCAAATCGCCCGACAAATTATCAAGATAAGGCCACACATCGATTTCCTCACAAGACGACTTATCGGTACTAGACGAAAACAGAGCTTCCCATTTGTCTACCATGTTCGAACAACTCAATCGAATTGCCGGTACCATATTCTGCATACATATAAATTAACCACACCAAACTTCAAATTTCAAACACATGAAATAAATAACACTGCAATCTGTCTATATATATATATATATATATATATATATATATATATATATATATATATATATATATATATATATATATATATATATATATATATATATATATATATATTCTGTGCTTGGCCCATTTCTCATCCTCAAGAAGAAGAAGCCCACCCGCAATCGCCTCCCCAATCGGGTCGGGTCGGGGCTTCTGGAACACGTCGGGTTTCGTGAGAATCTCCTTCATCAGCTGCGGATCAGCTATCACCAACCTCGGAGACGGTCCGAACCATATAAACGAATTCTCACCTGTTTCATTACAATCAAACAAGATTTTTTAAACGATGAATTATGGGTTCTTAGCTCCGTGATTAAAAAATTAAAAAATAACATATTTTTTTTTATTACCGAATTTGGTTCTGGTTTGGTGGTAATAAGGAAGAATATGCGGCGGAAGGTGGTCGGAGAGTTGGATTGACACCGGCCGTTCCTTTTCCATTACAGAGATTAATTGTTTCATGTCTCCGATGAGGAGTTTGTACGGATTGCCGTTGAGGCCCTGTTTTCTCAAGAACAACTCCAGTTTCTTCGGCCTTAACCAAACCCAGTTGACTATTTTGAGTGATAGTGTTATCAATCCCATGAACAGGATAGACACCAGGATTGATCCGAAGTTGACTTCCATTTCTTTCTTATGGTTTCTTCTCTGTAATACTCAGAAGTGAGTTTGTGTTTTCAGGGTTTTGGTGGTTCAAATTATTATGAAATTAAAAGGGATTGGTTTGACTTATTATGAGCTAGTTGCAGAGAACCCCCTCTGTAATTTTTAATTGCCGAAAAAATCCTCGTAATAGAAAAATTAACAAGAACCGCCCGATGTTATTTTTTACGAAGTACACTGCCCCTTATTTTGTTTTTTGCGGTTGATTTAGATGAAATGACAAAATTACCTTACTGAGGTATGCTCAAATACCGAAAAAATCCTCATGTTTGGGTATAATAATCACTCCTTAACGGTGAACTTTTTCGCACGTTCACTTTTATATTGTCAAATTCAATAGAGTTTTTTAGATTAAGTGCGATGTTATGTAGTTTATACTCGTTTTGCGCGAATATGCAGTTTCAGATGTAACACAATCTGATATTTACAAGCCAAAAGACACAACGTATTATCATATTTTTTTCACAGGGCAAATTACAACCACTCCTGAGGTATGGTCAAATTATGAAAACCCCCCTCTTGTTTGGATAATTACAACCACCCCCTCAACTTCTCAAATTTAGTGGAATCTTCGAGATTATATGGAATATTAATTTATTAATTTATTAATTTATTAATTTATCAATTTGGTGTTTTACCATTTAGTGAGCAAAAGAACCGACACAAGGAAATGGGTTCAAGTTCAAATGTTTTGGTATCTGACCCCTTCTTGTTTTGACTGATTTGACTTGACCCGAAACTCAACTGGATCGGATCCAGTTTCAGGCATAGTTGTACTTAATTACTTAACTTTCTACATTAATTAATAATATATCATATTATCACGTCCTTAAAAACAAAACCACTATACGATGTGCTGATCTACAGTTTTTTTTTTAACGCAAGAATCTCCAAAGTAGATTCAAATAAATTATAAACTATTGACTTTTTTAATTGTGATCTAATGACAGTGATTAGCATACAATTATTATTACATATATGTTGCACTATCTTGAACTATCTCAAAAGTGCAACATTTAATTGGCACTTTGCGCCATTGAAATTCAATAACAGCACATTACACCCACAGAACACAATAAATCATTCATAATGCACCCTGAACTGAATAATAAAAGAAATTTCATTTTTTTTTGGTACAAAATAACAAATTAAAATTTTATTTTTTTTAACCTCCAACCTAATTTCGAGCGCACAAAGTGCGAAAAAATAAAAATCACACCGGAGTATTGAAATAAACTATATTTTCTTACACAAAAAACTTTTGTCCCGAAATTATTCAATTGATGGATCTTTTATTGTAATTGGTGGAAATATTAGGTAAAAATATTTGGAAGAAAATATAATTATAATATAACTTGATAACGAAATAGCCGAAGGATTTTTTTCATAAAATATTTTTTGTGATAAAAAATATAATATTAAATACCACTAAAAATTATTAAATTACATTTATTAGCTTTGAAAATTTCATTCATGGTACATTATGCATGATATATTGTATTCGATGGTGCAAAGTGCTATTAATTTATTTCGAGTGTGCAAAGTGCCAAATTGGTATATTTCAAGTGTGCAAAGTGGAATTAAGACAATTAAATTCAAAGTAAATTACCAAAATCACCTTGAACTAAGGTCTCTAAGGTCTAATTATCAAATTTCTTAACATAAAAATATGTCTATAATGCCCTTGGGTTAAATAATAATAATAAAATTATTCATAATTACTAAAAAAGATAACCCATAACATTTGTTTCTTTCGAACAATATCCCCTAATAGCTTCTTAATTTAAAAATAAAATAAATTGAATATTTTATTTGAAAGTTTGGTGAATTTGGCAGCCTCTTTCAGGGACATTTCGACAACTTCCAGTTAGCTTTTCAACAATATTTACATTAATATCACTTAAAAAAAAGGAAAAATTAGCAATAGCCCCCTCATCTAGGAACATGAGCTAATGAAACACTTTCTCCCAAAAATAATTGGAGAAAATTCCCGTAAATAATATTCCACTCAAATGTTATTTTAATAATTCTCAAACTACCCTTATTAATATTAAATCTCATTTTCATGTTTCAAAATCCTAACCCATTTCATATGCCGTTTTTCTCTTCTCCTTTTCTCATCTTCTCTCTTCTCTCTTTTCTTCTCGACTAAAATTCAGAGGAAAAGCAAGACGTCGACCGATGGTGGTGGTGGTGGAAGAGTGTTTGTCGCCTATTGGTTTTTGGCCCAAATATGTTTTGGGCCAGAAAGCCCAATTAACCCCTTTATATACACCACCATTGAGTTAAGCCCAAGAGTGAATAAGTGAGCCCAAATTCATATCTGAGTCAAATTCATCCGTTGGATTTCTGGCTGAATCTGGACCGTTTATTCATTCACTTAAATATTCTCTTCTCTCTCTTCTTTACCCTCATTCTGAAACCCTAGTTTTTTACCCTTCTTCTCCGCCGCTCCTGCTTCTGTCTTCTTCCTCCCTTGTACTGCATTGACTCTGTCATGGCTGGAGGTCAAAGAGCACGGTACATGGCTGACTTTGACCGTCCAGTACTGCCTACACCGGCTCTATTTGACTTCTGTCTCTATAAATACTGGTATGGAGGTTGGAAGAGGATAAGACACAGATAAAACCCTAGACTCGACCTAAATCTCTCAGTTTTTCTATTTGTGAGTTCTGAAATTGGGGTTTTGGTGAGTGGGTAAGCTTGAGTGCTTGATCTGTTCTTTCCTTTGTGGTATTATGGGTGAAACTAGGGTTTGTGTGTTGAGAGAGAAAGAAGATCAGTTCTTCTTGTGGGTACTCTGGTGGTGTATAGTGGAAAGTGTGAATCTCTGGTGTGAAAATTGGAAGACTGAGCTGATATTCTTAATCTATTTATCTTTCAATTTTATTCACCTTTATTTCTATCTTTCTATTGTACTTGAGTGTATATATTCTCCTTGGCAGTAATCAATACTGCTCAAGGGGAACTTATACTATATTAGGCTTTATGGAGCTTGGCAGTTTGATACCCTACATCGCCGCCTCCCGCCGCCGCGTGAAGGGTGGTGACGATCTGTAATTGGCGGCGGTGGTTTCCACCAACGACGTTGAAGCTGATGACTAGCGCTCGTCGTCGAGGGCGCAGTGAGTTGACGGCTACGAGGATGAGGCATGAGAAAATCACTGTTGCAATTGATGTTGATGAAGGTATTTATTTATTTGTTTGTTTTTTTGTTTTAATAATTATTTTTGTAGTGTTGCTTTTGTTATGTGTTCAGAAATTGTTTATGGAGTGACCAACAATGGTTGACAAATACCTTGAATCGTTCTTGTTTGTTTTTTATTTATTTAAATACTAATTTGTGTTTTTTTGTATGAATTAATTATTATATTTATTTTATTCTGCTTAGGGATTGGTTGAATAGTGTGGTGTGCATGGCGGCGGTGTGGTGAGGATGGGGAGGCAGATTTAGGTTTTTTTGGTGGATCGGGCGGAGGACGGCGCGTATGGAGAAATTCGCGCAAACTGGGACCATAATCGATTATGTACATGTTCAATAGTCGATTAAGTTACTCGACTATGCTATGGTAGTCGATTAAGGTTGATCGACTCCAGTTTTTTAAATATTTTTTTGAGTTTTTTGTTTATTGATTCCAATTGTATAAATCAATTATAATGTTTGTATATTTTTTGATTTTGTAAAATATAGTTGATTTTGCAGTTGCGGTTTGTTATTTTTAGTAGCAGATTCTTAGTCGACTATGCTTCATCGTAGTCGATTAATATACCTGATATAGAAAAAAAATTAAAAAACAAAGAAAGTTAAAAAAAATTAAAGAATTTCCTTAATCGACTATGCTTCATAGTCGATTAAGAAAACTGATACATAAAATAATAAACGGTAAAAAACTGAAAAAAAGTAAATAAAAAAATTCAAAAATCACTGATGACCAGCGCGTGACCCAGTGATGATGTGGCAGGCGCAGACAGAATTGGAAAAAATAATAGCTAGAAATGGGTGTGATCTTTTCTTAAATGGAGAGAAATATTTTTGGCATCTCTCCATTAAAAAAAAAGTAATAAGGGGTGTTCTCAAAAAGAAAAAAAAAATTACATTATCTATTATTTATAATTTATAGTAATTAAAGGAGAATAAAAAATAAAATTGCTGATCCAGACCAAAACTGGATCGCAAGGCCCACATCGAACAGCCCATTAACAGGGGCCCAAAGCTGATATAGGCGGCCCGATTAAGGAAGGAGGCTCGCGAAAGGAAAGCCCAGTTCCTTCCTCTGCACCCACCTTGAGTTAACGACAAAAGAAGGAAATGAAGTCCCGCAGGCATCAGCGGCGCACGGGAAGTCCGCTCGACTGTGGGAAGACGGGGCGAGTACGGGAAGAAGGATATAAATGCACTGATAACGCCCCAGCGGCGCATTAAATACCATGACAGTGACATTTAATGCCCGAATGACAAGGTGCGGCCAAAAAACTAGGAAAATGCATGGAGAAAACTGTCAATCACGTCTAGGCCTGGCCATAAGAGAGATCATCATGATCCAGGCCACCCGCTCAAAAACGAAAAGAGGACTCCGCAGGGCTGCTCAGCCAGAATTCGAGGCCCTAGGAAAGCAGGCCAAAGGAACACTATAAAGGGAGACGTGCGCCCACCCTAAGGACCAGGTTCTTTTACGTATTTTTTCCTAAATATATACAACAAATAAATCCTTTGAAACCGTTAGTGACTTGACCGTTGGAGTGCTAACACCGGTGTCAATCCGGCTCCCTTTTTTGTAGGTCATCCCCATTATTGCAAAGGAAGTCATCGGGTCGTATTTCTTGCGAACGGATCAATTGCGCACTCCCATTGATTTCAATCCAAAAAATTCTACTTTCGAACAAATTCTCTTTCCAATCTTCGAATTTTTTTATTTCCACATTTTCTGAATTTTTTTATGAACAAGATTATAGTTTTATTATTTTCTTTTTTTCTTTTTTTTTTTTTTTTTTTGTAACGAAAATTGCACTTTGTCAAAATTGTTAATTTTACCCGTAATTTGTAACGATTTACTGATAGAAACAATGGAAATGTAGTCAATCAAAATATTTGATACTGCATTCCTAATACAGTCACATACTCAAAAGATCATAATTAAAACCCTCTTAAATAATGAACAATACAATAGAACTCCCCCATACATAATTAGTACGTACAAAACAATTAACTATCAAAAAAAATTAGTGCAAAATAATCAAATTTTATTCCCAAAAAAAAAATTACAATTACACTTCTCATGGAATAGTATTATCATAGTTATCTCCTGAGGATAAAATTCCTATATTTTTAGGAATATTCGATGAATAAAAAGATCCCGTCAAAATTCACATTGTAAAGGAGACAGTATAAGACGACAACAAACTTCATGGATGTTTTCGTAATTATGGATATGTGATGCATTTTTCGTAAATTGATCATAATTCCGAAAGTATAGCATCTTATTAGATTTTAGTATGTAATTACAATTGGAATACATTATATTAATGTATATATGTGTGTGTGTGTGTGTTTGCAATATTGGTGTCTAAATATATTTTTGGACAGATTGAAATTTTAATATTTTAAAATCGTATAGAAATTGGAGAATTTTCGATAATTAAATTATATATTTTCCGTATTCCAATTCAAAACAAAATCAGAAACAGTAAAATGAAAAAAGAAAATCCAAAAACTGAATCGAAATCGACGTAATTCAAGAATTAAGTTTGTACTAACTGAATCCAAATCGACGTAATCCAAGAGGGACCGAACTGAAACGTACATATATTTTCAAGGTAGATATGATAAGACCCTTCAAACCTACATCCACGGTAATTGCTCCGGTCGATACTTTAATGGCTAAGCTCGTAGTTTACTCGGTGTGAATTATATATCGATCTCTTGCGATTTACGAATTATTAATTAAATAATATTAGTACTTCAAGAACGTCGAAATATTAATTAATGACACGAAAATATTAATTAATGACACGAGTACATTAATTGGGTGTGTCTATGCAACAATGGTTGAATTAAACTTACACAATAGGCCTAACAACTTTTCCTATCTTCAACTCTTACCTAACCAGTACAGATCATCACTCATCAGGTTATATATAACAGAAAGAATTAGGCAAGCATGGAACATATTGAATTTTGCAAGCATATAATTTATCATTTTAAATAACTATGATCTTGAATTTTCAATTCCTAAGAGAAAAAATGTTGCAGCACCCCTTGAGTACTCATTTGATTCCGCTCGAGTGGCAAAGTCGAGGTTCTCCATCACCTAATTTTTCGATTGTTTCGCGCCGATCATCGGGTGTTAAGTTATCTGCTCTGAACAACCACAACACTTTAGCTTTCAACAACATTAGCGGTGGCAAAGGGTAGTTGTTTTCTCACTTGTGGTTGTTACTTCGGCCCTTCTATTTCATTCTGAGTGCCGTTTAAAGTTAATGCACATTGATTAAAAAACGATTAAATAACATTGATTTTATGAAAATAATATCTCATTTGACAGAATTACCCCTTTGTCATTTTTCATTTTGTCACTTCACTAATATTAGGTAAAGTTTTGGGAGAACAAAAAAAAACTTTATTGTACATTGAAACTCTAGGCGCCAATTAGTATACAAAATACAATTATGGCTCAAGAGACACTTCAATAAAAATGAGGGAGTATTATTAAGAATTGCCTATATCATGTGTTTTAATTTTTAAACATAATTATATATGCTTCATTTTATTTTATTTTACTTATTTATTATTATTGGTAGGATGAATTGGTTCCACGAAATAAAACTAGAGGTTCGGGATCATGAAGTGGATCGATATGGAGTAGTTAAAGATTCTATTTATGCAAATTATTGTGAATACGGTGAGACTGCTTCAACCGATATTATTATTATTAGGGCAAATTACGGACACCTCTAAGGTATGACTAAATTACGAAAAGTTCCTCTTGTTTGGGTAATTACTGTCACCCCCTCCTTTTAAATATTTTTACATAAAATTTATGTAATTCGGTTATTTACTGAACCAAATTGTATATTCAGTTCGGTAAACGGTATGAAATGTTGGCGTACCGAAATTTCGGTTCGGTTTTACCGATTTTAACATCCCTAAATTTACCTCTGGATGAGTATTTTCGTAAGATAATACATAGTTGAGGGGTGGCTGTAATTACCCAAACAGAAGGGGTGTTTTCGTAATTTAACCATAACTCAGGGGTGGCCGTAATTATTATTATTATTATTATTATTATTATTATTATTATTATTATTATTATTATTATTATTATTATTATTATTATTATTATTATTATTATTATTATTATTATTATTATTTCTTCACATGATATTTGTGCAGGTCAGTTTCAACTATTCAAAGACGAGATCGGAGCAGAGGATGAAGTTTTAGCTATTACAGAAATGTCATTCAAATATATCGCACCTTTAAGGGTATGGATTTTATTCAAGGCTTGTCTATTTTCGTTTTCATATATTTTATAATTCTTTCGATTAATTTCTTCACGATTTTTTTTTTTTCTGTTTGTTGTAGCGTGGAGATAGATTTGTTTTGAATGTGAAGTTATACGACTACTCTGCCACTCGACTATACTTTGAAAATCTCATCGTCAAGCAACCAAACCTACAGGTTCTTTTTCGGGTAGCTCTATATGTTCGTCTTTATCATTTAAATAAGTAAACAATCTTTAGATTTTTTTTCGAATCCTACGTATATTCACATTACCGGAAACAACGGCAAAGTCAGCTTCAATTTAAGAGAGTAAACTAAAGTTTACAGAGCTCAAGGGCAGCGTATCGCTATTTTTCTAAATATATTAGCATAAAATGACATATAAGAATTAAATATGTGAAGACTTTATATTCAAAAAAAGTATGAACTCAAATACAATATGTCTACAAAATGACCGTTGAAAACTTCTCAAATTATTACTCCCTACGTTCCCTATTAAGTGTCGTTTTTGGCTTTGCACAAGGATTAAGAAGCTCAATAAATGTGTCTTGATTTTAGGTAAAATATATTAGAAAGTCTAAAATAACCTTGATTATTTAATGATGTGATAAGAGATAATTAATACTTATAGTTGAATTAATAAGGTTAAAACAGGAAAAAATGCATTTAATGCAGTATTAGAAATCTAAAGTGACAGATAATATGGAACAAAAATATTTTTAAAAAGAGACAATTATTGTGGAACAGAGGAAGTATTTATGGTAAATTACGGATACCCCTTTAGGTAAGACTAAATAACTAATGAATTTATGTGAATTTGTTGGTAATTACAAATATACCATAAAACAAACAATCCATTACAAACCCTAACTAAATGAATTAATTGTTCAAATTATTCTTTTTATTAAATAAATAAACTATTGGTAAATTGCGGGTAACCCCTAAGATAGGACAAAATATTACATTTAACCTCCTGTGAGTATATTGCATTTACCCATTGGGTAGATTTGGAAATTCATGACCAATATCTCATGGAATTAAAATTTTGTTACTCATAGCTCTGTAAGGAAGTAAAGGTAAGCCAAAAAAAAAAAAAAAAGCTAACTCAGGGAGCATTTGTAATTATCAAATAGTTTTTTGTCTTACCATTACACCGGTATGGAGTTATGAGTAACATAATTTTAATTTCATAGAATATTCGTTATTTTGTACTGATTCTGTCCTGATATATTTTAGATAGATTAATGTTTGGTATGATTATGCAGCCAATTTTGGAGGCAAAATCAACAATCGTTTGCCTGGATAAAAACTATCGTCCAGTTCGTATATCTCGGAGAACGATATCTAAATTCAATCAGTTTCTCGTTCAGTACTGAACTTTTTGCCCCGTAAAAATTTGATATCTTATTTTGTTTTACCTATATGTATTTTATGGAGTTATTTGCACAGACCCTTCCGTGTAAATTCTGATGGGTAAAAAAGTCCATATGTTAAAATAATTAGCACAGACTCCCCTATGTCCTGTTTTATTTAGTCCGCCACCCCTTACATAGTTTGGCGTGTTGACTTAATTGAAATGACATATTTACTCCTAATTAAAAAATAAAGCAAACATACAGAAAATACTTAAAAACACGTCATCATCATCTTCTTCATCTCTCATCACATCCTCTGCCATCGTCGCTACAAATGGTCCGCCGGAGACACCAACAAGCTCATTTCATTCTAGAACTTGCCCTGACGAATCCCCAAATTGCGAACCACGACACCCACATGCAACTTCCATTGTGTTTCTTGAAAAAACGAGACTCTTCGCCATTGATTTGATCTTCTGAGAAACCATGGCCCGAAAACTCCGAAGAAACAATCGACAACCCTCTACTTCCAATAATGGTCGTTGCCGCCGCACGAAGACGAAGATGGTGGAAGAAAAGTCATTTTTTGGGCCTCCACTTTCACCGCCCGGTCTCACCGCCCACCGCCGCACACCTCCGTCGCGGGATGGGACAAACTCAATTGGGAGAAGAGCGACCAATCATTGGCCGTCTCCACTCCCATTGCAAATCCACGTCTAACTTGCGGTTGTGGGAGGCAGATCTGAAAGATGTGGTGGTGGTGGGGTGGTGCAGAAGGACTGCTTGGTGGTGGTGAGAAGCGACGGAGGGCTGAGGTGGGTTTTTCTTGGCTAACAATTCAATCCCTTGACTTTGGAGAAAAGGGCTTTTCTGGAATTTCAAGGGATTGAATTGAAAAAATTGAAAACTTTATTTGGGGCTTATTTTTGAAATTTACAATGTAAAGGGTATTTTGGTCTTTTCACGTCAAAATTTGAGCTCCATTCGAATATTTGGCGGGTGTATCACACGACCAACTCGTAGGGGCTTTCATATCGTTGACTATGTAACACATGAGAGGTATGTGCTAATTGTTTTAACATATGGGTTTTATTAGCCATTAGACATTACACAGGAGGTGTCGGATAGGGGTGGGCATTCGGGTCGGGTTATGACCCGATCCGGCCGGGTCGGGTTATGACCCGATCCGGCCGGGTCGGGTAATTTTTGAAAAAAACGGGTTTTGCCGGGTTCGGGTACCCGGTGCCTAAAAATCGGGTCGGGTTCGGGTATTGGTATTTCTACCGGGTTACCCGATCGGGTACCCGGTTAATTTTTTTTTTATTAAAACTAAAAAAAGGGGCAGACAATCTTATCTGAACTAGGACTAGATTTCTTTCTTGTTCTCTTTGATTCTTTGATACTCGGAGAATGACGGAAACAAGAGTAGTTTTTGCAAGAAACACTACTGAAATTGCAGCCACATGGAGGAGTTTCTGGTCGCCAGATCTGGAGCTCGTTAGGTTATGACGGCGGGCCGGCGGCGGCCAATTTTTTAAAGTGAGGAGGAGCTGAGAGTCTTTGAGGAAGCCATTTGCGGCGCGCCGACGGTGGTGAGACTTGAGAGAGAAACGAAGAAGATTATAAGTTTATAACCTATAGAGGAAAGTTTTGTGTATATGGGCGTGGTGGAGGAGATTCTTTTCGGCTTGGATCTCCTAAAAGAAAAATTAAAGACTTCATTTTTCATGGTGTTAGGTAATCAGATTCAATTTTCTTCATGAATTTCACAGAGATAAAGTAGAGAGAGAAAGTGGTGTTTATGAGAGAGAATGTGGGTTGGTGGTTTATGGAGAGGGGAGAATGGCTGCGAAATGGAAGTAAAAAAAAGCAGAAGCTTTCATTTGTTTTCAAAAAAAAGAATAAAAAAAAAATTGAAAACCCGACCCGACCCGAACCCGACCCGAAAAAACCGGGTACCCCGCAACCGGGTACCCGGTTTTTTCGGGTCGGGTTCGGGTACTGTTTTTTTTCAAAAAAACCCGAATAACCCGACCTGAATAACCCGAATAACCCAACCCGACCCGAATGCCCACCCCTAGTGTCGGATGTTAAAACTTCGTATTTTATGACAAAAACATCAATATCTCGTTAAAAATAAATCGTGTTGATTTTACATCATGATACAAAATGAATTTTGAAAATTTCTCGAAAATTTCAACACACCAAAGCTTCATATTTTTATATACTTTTCCTATGCAATTTGAATCAGTGAAATTGAGTTCATATATATTGCGTATCTATATTATATATATTACGTATACCTATTATTATTCTTATTTATTAGGTTACCTTGTATATTAGGTTTCCTTGTATATTAGGTTACCTTGTGTAGTAGGTTAGGGTTTCCTACATGTAACTATATATATGACTAATATACGTAAGAGATATCACTCTCTCTTTTTTCCAAATATATTTCTCCTATATGGTATCAGACACTAGGTTAACCTAGCCGTCACCACCTCTTCTTCTCTTTTTCTGCATAGCCGTCGCCCTACCCCCTTCTTCTCCATGGCCGGCGAATCTTCATCTTCTTCTCCCTCCAATCCTTTTCACCTTGCTCATGCCATCTCTAATATCAAATCCCTTATTCCCGTTACTCTAGATCTAAAAAATCCTAATTATCAAAAGTGGAGCCACTTTTTCACGATCACCGTCGGTCGTTTCTGCCTCTCCGATCTTCTCCATGGCAAACCCCGACCGGATTCGATTTCCGCCGACGAATGGCAGCGCGCCGACTATCTCCTCCAATCTTGGATCTACGGCACCATCTCCGACGATCTATCCAGCATGGTTCTCTAAAAAACCTCCACCGCCAGTGATCTATGGAACGCCATCTCTTCTCTCTTCACCGATAACAAAGACTATCGAGCCATTCAACTTGAAGAAAAATTCAAGTCCCTCAAGAAAGGCGCTCTCTCCATTCACGATTATTGCCAAATAATCAAGATCACGGCGGACAGCTTGGCCGATGTCGGAAATCCAATCTCCGACAAACAACTCGTTCTACAAACCCTACACGACCTCCCGAAAAATTACGGGACCGTCGCCAATCTCATCTTCTTTCAAAATCTCCTTCCCACCTTTCTACAGACTCGTTTGCTCCTTCAGATGGAAGAAACAAGAATTTCTGAACCGGAGCAGACCTCTGCTGTTTTCTACGCCTCCAACGCGAACTGTCCATCCAACAATTGCAACAGTTCCAGCAACAGTTCCTGCGGAGGTAGTTCTTCGCGCTATCAGCGCGGGGGTGGCCAATCCAACCGTCGCGGAGGTTGCAGCACTAACCGCCACCCCATGCAGCACTACGGCTATCATAGTGCTCATGGCGCATCTCAACTTTGGCGCGCACCTTACCGACAACAGTCAATTCTGGGATCCGCTCAAAATACATTGGGCCACCCAGCGGCTCAAGCCTACTTTACTGGACCACCTGAACCCTACACCGGTCACTCGGCTCCTACTCAGGTTCATCCGCAGCAGCAACCGTGCCACAGCTCTGGCAGTTCCATCAACAGTTGCAACAGTTCCTGCAACAGTGCCAACGTGGTAAATATCGCACACCGTTTGAATACGGTGACACTTCAGCAGCCTACCGAGTCACAGTGGTTCATGGACAGCGGGGCGACCTCTCATATGGCACCACACTCAGGTAATTTCAATTTTGTTTTTAATCCTGGCAGTAAATTCCCCAAACATGTCGTCGTCGGTAATGGTTCCACCCTCCCCATAACCCACATAGGCCACACAATTCTTCCCACCACTCATTTTCGTCTCACAAATGTCTATGTCACACCCAATATCATCAAACACCTTATATATGTTCGAAAGTTCACCAGCGACAACTCATGTTCGGTTGAATTTGATCCGTTTGGTTTTTCTGTGAAGGATCTTCGGAGTCGAGTCGAGATTTTCAGGTGCAATAGCTCCGGTGACCTATATCCATTTGGCGTCCCTCCCCTCACCTCACCTCCCGCTGCTTTCCTCACTGTCGCAACACCTTCGTCTCGCACTCTTTGGCATCGGCGTCTAGGCCATCCCGGCAAACACGTCATGTCTCGTTTATTTTCTAGCACTTTTCTTTCCCATAATAAAGACCCTAGGGAGTCTCTTTGTAATGCCTGTCAATTAGGCAAGTATTTTCGTCTACCATTTTTTTCTCAAAAATCTACTACTGGTGCTCCATTTCAAATTATTCATGCTGATTTATGGACTTCTCTTGTTTCTAGTCTTACGGGTTTCAAATATTATCTTGTGCTAGTTGATGATTTTACCCATTATTTATGGACTTTTCCCCTTCGAAATAAATCTGATGTTTTTACAACCTTTGTCAATTTTCATACACTTCTCAAAACTCAATTCCAACATCCCCTGAAAGCCTTACAAAGTGATAATGGTCGTGAATTCAAAAATGCGGATTTTTAAAACTACTTCACTAAACACGGCATCCTAAACCGTTTTTCGTGTCCCACACCTCCCCTCAAAACGGACACGCAGAACGAATGATCCGCACTATAACTAACATGATTCGATCCCTCATCTTTCAAGCCCATCTTCCTCCTACTTATTGGGTCGAAGCCCTTCATATGGCCACACACCTACTCAATATCTTACCTGCCAAAACCACACAAAATCGGACTCCTCACGAAGCTCTTTACCTCATCAAACCTACATACTCTCATCTTCGAGTATTCGGCTGTCTCTGTTATCCCAACCTCACCGCCACCACACCACATAAACTCACCCCCCGTTCTACTCCTTGTGTCTATCTCGGTCACCCTTCCTCTCACAAAGGCTATCGTTGCCTTGATAGATCCACTGGCCGAATCATAATTTCTCGTCATGTTATCTTCGATGAAACTAACTTTCCTTTTGCTGAGTCCACTCCCCCCAAAAACACCCCTGCTCCTTCTGCTTTGGACGAAAACACACCCTCCCCGTTCCTCCTCCCTCAGACTTCGTCTAACTGTTGCAACAGTTCCTCCAACTGTTCCAATAGTGAACCACCATGTTCCAACAGTCCTATAACACAGCCAACACCTATTTCCCCTGCAGCACCACCTGTCGACCACAACCAGCTCACAACCCCTTCTCTTACTCCCACACCTCTCCCACCTCCCCTTGCTCACCCTATGGTGACTCGCAGTAAAGTGGGCATCCACAAACCCAAAGTCCATTTCTCTCTCGTTGCATCCTCTACCTCTCCCATTCCCACCAACTATCGCCAAGCTCTTCTTGACCAAAACTGGCGAAACACCATGATTGAGGAATATACTACTTTAATTAAAAACAATACTTGGAATGTTGTGCCCCGCCCCCCGTCCACTAATGTTATTTCTGGTAAGTGGATATAAAAACAGAAACTCAAGTCTGATGGCTCCCTTGAGCGATACAAAGCACGGTGGGTTGTTCGTGGGTTTCTCCAGCAGGCTGGCATCGACTTTGACGAGACTTTCAGCCCAGTTGTCAAACCAGCCACTGTTCGAACAGTTCTCAGTATTGCTCTCTCGCGATCATGGCCAATCCACCAGCTTGACGTGAAAAATGCCTTCTTACATGGCAATCTCTCTGAAACTGTCTACTGCGAGCAACCTCCTGGATTCGTCGATCCATCTCGCCCCACTCACGTGTGTCGTCTCAACAAAGCACTCTACCGTCTCAAGCAGGCACCACGTGCTTGGTACAAGCGTTTTGCATCTCACATTACTACCATGGGGTTCAGAGAATGCAAGTCCGACACTTCACTCTTTGTGTACTGTCGCAACAGTTCACGCGACTGTCGCAACAGTTCATGCGCCTACCTTCTGCTGTATGTCGATGGCATTGTACTTACCGCCTCAACACCTGAATTGCTCCGCTCCATCATCGCTGCCCTTAATCAAGAGTTCGCAATGAAGGATCTTGGCGATCTTCACTACTTTCTCGGCATCTCAGTCACTCGCTCGTCGAATGGGATATTTCTCTCTCAACGCAAGTACGCCGACGAGATCCTAGAGCGTGCACACATGGCTTCCTGCAACCCTTGTCTTACGCCGGCTGACACAAAGAGCAAGTTGTCTTCGACCACTGGACCCCCCGTTGCTGACCCTACTCTTTATCGCAGTCTTGCCGGTGCACTGCAATACCTCACGTTTACTCGTCCTGACATCTGCTATGTTGTGCAACAAATATGTCTATTCATGCATGATCCGAGGGAACCTCATATGGCTGCTCTCAAGCGTATCCTTCGCTACATTCGTGGGACTCTCGATCACGGCCTTCAGCTCTTCCCCAATCCGGACCTCTCCCTTATCGCTTACTCCGACGCCGATTGGGGTGGCTGCCCTGACACTCGTCGTTCGACATCGGGCTATTGTGTCTTCCTCGGCAACAACCTCATCTCTTGGTCCTCCAAACGACAGGTCACTACCTCTCGATCGAGTGCGGAGGCCGAATACCGAGCTGTCGCAAATGCCGTCGCCGAAACGACTTGGTTACGCAACCTACTTTCTGAGTTGCTCTGCCCACTTTCGAAAGCCACTATTGTCTACTGTGACAACGTCAGTGCCGTCTACCTATCGAGCAATCCTATTCAACACTCTCGTACGAAACATGTGGAGATCGATATCCACTTTGTACGAGACAAAGTTGCTTTGGGACACGTTCGAGTCCTTCGTGTCCCATCCGCCTACCAGTTTGCCGATATCTTCACGAAAGGACTCCCTACTCAACTGTTCCAACAGTTTGTCTCCAGTCTCCACGTCCTCTCCTTTCCCGTTTCGACTACGGGGGTGTATTAGCGTATCTATATTATATATATTACGTATACCTATTATTATTCTTATTTATTAGGTTACCTTGTATATTAGGTTACCTTGTGTAGTAAATTAGGGTTTCCTACATGTAACTATATATATGACTAATATACGTAAGAGATATCACTCTCTCTTTTCTCCAAATATATTTCTCCTATAATATATGATTCAGTTATGATCAAAATAAATCACCAAGTTTGTTTTATAGTGATTTTAACAATTAATTAATTTGAATCTTGCAAATTGCAAAACTTGAATATCATAGGTCTATTTCTAAGTTTAACTATTATGTTCTAATCGACCCAATTAGAGTAGAAATGATAAATTTGTGGTGAAAATACGTAATCATATTGTCCTCGATCGACAATAAGATTCAATATATATTTTTACCATGACCAAATTAAAATATCATAAAACACATAACAAAGCTGTAGAAATTGTGATCATCTTTCTAATGCAACTTGAATCAATGTAGATAGTAAGAACACATAATTAATGTTGTTGTCAGGCTCGACAATAACATTACGTAATTTTGGAATGTATTCTATAACTGATGTGAAGCAAATGCTTATTTGGACTTGTCATTTAGTTCTAATATATTTTTATCAGAGACCTATATTTTAAAGCTCCAAAATATTATTACTTCGAGTACGTCGAAATATTAAAGACACGAAGACATACATTAATTAAAATACACAATAGGCTAACAATTTTTCCTATCTTCAACTCTTGCCTAACCAGTACGGATCATTGCTCACTTATTAGGTTATATATAACCAAAAATAATTAGGAAAGCATGGAACATATTGAAATTTGCAAGAATATAATTTATCATTTTAAAACTCTATTATCTTTGATCTTCACTTGCTAAGGGGAAAATGTTGCAGCCAGGGGCGGAGCCAGGATTAGAAAGTAGGGGGGGCTAACTAAAATTTCGGGGTTCGGGGCAGCGCCCCGAAAAAAACTTTAGGTTCACAAGACATTAAAAAAATAGGGTTTATACTGCGAATTTTTAATTAAAATAATATATATATATATATATATATATATATATATATATATATATATATATATATATATATATATATATATATATATATATATATATATAGAGAGTGATATGAGTCAGGGCGCGTCTCGCAGTATCTGAGACAGACAGAGAGACACAGAAAGAAAGATCGATAAATAGATATACATAAATATAAATAAAAATAGAACAAGTTTTAACCATTTTTTTTTATATTTTTATATATAAAAATATATATATCTATAAATAAAAAAAAATTGAGGAGAAAAAACAAAAAAAAAAAAAGGGAAAGAGACATATAGACAAAAATACAGGGGGGGCCGGGGGGAAGAAAGAAAAAAAAAGAGGCCAAAACAGCAAAAAAAAAATTTTTATTTTTCTTGGGGGGTCGCCGGCCCCCCCGGCCCCCCGGACGGCCCGCCCCGGCGACCCACGGGCGAGAGGATGTCTGAAGCACTCACGAGGGTTTGCCACGCAGACACCCCCACGCGCACTGGAGCACGCGTGCACTGTGGCACTCACCCACGCGCGCAGACAAAAGAAATTCCCTCCCCCCTTAGCTCTATGGGTCGAATGGTGGGCTTTGTCAGTGTTTTAAAGTGGTTGGGTCGGAGTGGGACACCGAGAGACACACTCAGTCACTCC